CTAGAACCGAACCAGTTCCGCACTAGTTCGTTTCCCTACAGGGAAGCTAACGCAACGCCAAAGCTGTATGTTTACGGCCTTTATGAAGCTTTTCAGCAACAGATTGAAAAAGTCGCACGAGAGTGAATCCTTGTCTAAAACCTCGTTTGGGCTCAAACGGTGCGAAAAGGTCCTTCCTAATTTGGACAGAGCTGAAAATTGTGTTCAATGTCCCTCATAGGCTTATTAGTTTTGTGGAATACCCAAATTTAGTTATGATGTCGTACAGGCAACTTCTCTTCGGGCTATCAAATATGGTGTGTGTCGATTTGCGAATGGTCTGATGGTGTTGATTTGATCAATGGTCTAAAGACACACTGATAAGGGCAAATCATTGGTCCATGAAGGGCTTCAGTAAATTTCGTCGGCAGAACCTTGTATGTAATATAAAAAAAAATCCCTAGAAAATTTTGTTTCGAAATTTTAATGTAGTTGGTTGATAAGTCCTTATACTGTACAGCACTCGGCTGGGTATTGGACCAAACCAACTTTTTTTAAGAGACCGAGTCATATGTAAAAAAGTAGTTTCTCCGTTTTTCGAAGTTAGCCTCCGAAATCGAGATATGGGCTTTCGAAGCTCGAAATTAGACCTTTGCTAAAAAAGTAATTTTAATTATTGCATGTAAAAAGCAAAAAAAAAGTAAAAATACAGACGTGGTCCGCCTTTTGCTCTTATTTATATGGTATATAATTTTTTTTGGGAAAACTTATATTACAGGTGCTATAACGGATCTTAGAAAAATTAATAACTTAATATTTCAGAAAATTTTTAAGTGATTTTTAAAAAATGCATATTGTTGTAAAGGTGATTTAACCTCCTTTCTTGTGATATGCATATTTGTATACTTCGTACATAAAAATTTGAGTAAAGACATACGAATATACATATCAAAAGAAAGGGGATTAATTCGCCTTTATAGCGATACTAACCTTTTAAAAGTCAGTTAGTAATTTTTTCGTTTAAAATATTTTTTTATAAAAAAAAGGTATTTTTGCTTTAAATGTGTTTTATCTCAAATATTTATATACGAAGTATACAAATATACAAATTAGAACAAAGGGGATTTACTCGTCTTTACAACTATATAAATTTTT